CCCATGCTAGCGATTTTCGCGCCAGGAGACCTCATGGGGCTGTGCGCGGGAACCACGCGCATCTTGGGGCTGAATTTGAAACCTTTTAGTTATATGTGGATGAGGAATATAACCTCAAAATTTCAGCTTTCTGTCTTTTCTCGTTCCCTAGTTATTAATTTTCCCGCCAAAACCTTCACACTCTCGTACGCGGGGTCCAGACTTGCGTGAGGGTTGGTACCGCGGTTCTGGGGTGGCACTTGGTCGGGGAACTCACTAGCAAAATCTTGGCGCTGGAACTTGTTTGGTTGCCGGGTTGAAATATCCGGACAGACGAACACACACACACACACACACACACATACACACAGGATCGTTGCAATATGCGTTCTTGCAGTTCGCTTATAGGCAAAAACGCATAAAAATTAAAAGCTGAGAAGTTTCATTTCAACGGTTTGAATGAAACAACCTTGGTTTTTTTCCAAATAAAGCAGCTAGTAAACAAATCCATCATACGTAAGATGTATTGATTTTTTGCATGAAAAGGAGTTTTCTAGTGTCTTTTCTGGCCAAATTTTGATTGATAACCCATCTTCTTCTCGATTTAAAAGTCAGCCTTTATGGATTACTAGAGGAACGCATATTTGTGTGTACACACATGAGCACTTTCACATGCCCTGGAAGAAGTTATCTGAAGTGGATGGCGGTGTATAACTTCCGATCTTCAATGGCTTTCCAGATTTCCGAGTGTCGTGTTCCTCGAAGCTCTCATCATAGTTCTACCGTTAATTTCTTGCTGCCAAATTCTTGCCTTGAACTTTGGTTGATTTTGCGGGAAATTTAATTGCATCTTGCTGTTCTTAATCTGAACAGAGCTGGTGTTTGAGAGGTCGCCTCAGTTCGCAGCTCCCAACACTCTACGTATTTGATTTTTCCCTTTGCTTGCAAAGTCCAATAACTTTTCGAGCACTAAATGTATTTTTAAAACTTGCTTTTTTTCTCAAGTTCGAGTGCATTATTTAAAAAACATAAAATCCCCGTGAAATTTGGTTTGCTGGAGGCGAACTTTCCGCTGTACTACTTTAGTGGGCCGAAATGAAATCAAAAAAGAGATGAAAGCGTACTGGCGGAGACATTTGCCTGGCTTGGCCCTGTTCCGTAGCTCCTTGCAAATGGCCAACCAGCTGGAATCGCATTCTCCGAAAAATCTTTTTTTCTCGTTTCAAATCTAACAAAATTTCACGCCTGGTAAGGTCCGCATTTTTTGCAAAAACTTTTTTGATCAGAATTTGC